TTCACTTAACAACTGCAGTGACTTGCTTAACAATCATGGCAAAAAGTGCTGTAAAATGGGGCAGAACTTACTTAACAACTTCTGGGCTTAGCAATAGAAATTTTGGGCTCAATTGTAGGTTTAAATCAGTGCTTCTCAATTATTTTCTGTCATGCCCCCCTAGGAAGAAGAAAACATTTCGCGCCCCCCGCGCGACTGTAAAAAATTTTTTTCTGTACAGAGGACCGATTTCCGGGTCTAAAAGTCACACGGGCGGGTTTGGCCAATCAGGATAGAGCATCATGTCTATCCAGTCGGGTCCTTTGCATGTGTCACGTGCGTTGGCGGTCATGTTGTCCTCCGCATCGGGCTGCCGCTTGCGAGTGAGTCGGATGATCCGATCTAGAAATCCAATATGACAGTATTTGCCGAGGTCAAACGAGCCCCCCTTTATGGGGGCGCGCCCCACTATTTGAGAAGCACTGGTTTAAATTAACATGGCATGTTAAATACAGATCATGACGATGTTTTTCTTTTTTATTTATGCTAGTTTAAGCCCAGTTATTGGGATTGGGACAAGTGGATGGAACTCTATATATGCTACCTGCTCAGAAAATTTGACTCCCTGATGTATGAGGGATTAAAAAGAAGGAAAAAATATCAGTTGATGCCAAAACTATTTTATCTTTATTTTAAAATGCCTGTATAAGTGAAATGGTTTTGCTTTTGCCATAGAAGAGTGTAAGATTAATTGATTCAATTTTCTTCTTTCAGTGTGTGCTGATCTTGACAAGGGTAGCCCTTTCCCAAAGAGTTTTACAGCTTACTTGTATTTGAGCATTTTAAAAAAGGCAGATGTAGAGTAAATTGGGTGTGGACATCAGGGATTGTAGTCTGGAATAACTGGAAGACACCAGACTAAGAAAAGGAATGGTATGATCTCTGACTTCATTATAAAATCAGGTCTTGAATTATAATTATTATGTTGCTGTTAATTAAACTTGTCATAATAATTAAACTGAACTCTTGAGTTAGCTAAATTAAATAAAAAGCTGTGATTTTCTTGCAATGATTGGATTCTATCTATCTATCTATCTATCTATCTATCTATCTATCTATCTATCTATCTATCTATCTATCTATCTATCTATGATCTATCTATGTCTATAGATAGGCACACGTTTCTCTGTGGAGTCCTTGGTTCTCTCTGAGCTTGGTTGTTTGCCTGCAGATGTTTCATTACCTGACTAGATATCTAAAGCAATGTTTCTTCTATGACATTGGGAAAACTCATCTATTGAACATTTGCAAAAAGAAACAAACACACACACACACACACACACACACACACACACACATTTACCTGTCTGTAAGAAGATTCCTTACAGAATAGCGATAAAATGAAATAATATGATAGGAGATGAAGTCAGGGATAGGGCACAGCTGTCTAGAACAGAGCTTTTCAACCGGTGGTATGGGTACTACCTGTGGTACATTGGCATCTGGCAGGTGGTACACGACCATCCTAGAAAAGTAGCGGGGGAGGGGAATGAGCTGAACACGTGGCAGCACCGCACAAGCCTGAGCGAGAGATGGCTGGAGCTGCAGGGCTGTCAAAGCTCAGTGGAAGCGCCAGGATCAGCGCCAGGCTCCAGCTGGAGCTCGGCACTGATCCTGGTGCTTCTGCTGAGCCCTGAAGAAGCACCAATCAGCTGGAAAGCAGCACTGATCCTGACGCTTCTGCTAAGCCCAGAAGAAGTGCCGATCAGCTGGAATGTTGCAGCATGTCCAGGGTCTTGTGATTTACATTCAGATGCTTGGCAACTGATTCATATTTATGACGGTCACAGTGTCCCAGGGTCATGTGAAGTGATTAAAACCTGCTGCAACCACCCAGCAGACGGGGGGAATAAAAACCAAACACCACCTCACCCCTGCTGCCAATCCTCAACAGAAATGCTCACAACAATGAAAACCTCGGACAGGAGGAAGAGTGCGGCTGGGCGGGCGGGCAGGCGTCTTGCTTGGCTTTGGCTTGGGGGGCACTTTTTTCAGTGCCATTGTAAGTTCGAAAAGTCATTAGTGAACTGTTGTAAGTTAAGGACTACCTGTACTTCATCACTTTTTTCCTTTTTTTTTTTTTTTTTGGTCATCAAGTTTTTGACACCTTGCTAGGTGACTGGTGGTACTCGGATATTGCCATATCCTAAAAGTGGCACAATGGGTGAAAAGGTTGAAAAGCCCTGGTCTAGAATGCTGAATAGACCCGCTCTATATTGCAACATTTTGTTTGAGGTCTCACCTACTATTTTGCCATCTATATATCCCTATTGCACATAAACCAATTTCATTAATATATTTATAGGCAATTACTGCCCTCTAAATGAGAAAAAACAATCATATAATGACCAAAATAACAAATCCATTTTCACCCAAAGAAAAAACAACTGTTAACATTTTAATGCTTTATCTCCAATCTCATTTGAGCTTTTTGAAGTGTTACTGTGATGTTAGCAACTTTGAAACATGCTAAATAAATATATCTAATAATAGAATAGAATGGTACAATACGAATTAATACAGTAGGAAGTCTTTAATAGCATCAAATATTTGGAGAAGCTTATAATTTAATCCATTTTCCTCAAAAAAACAGTGTTATATTTAAGTGGCAACATGCAGATTTATTAATATACAGTTTTAGAAGCTGATAATCTTACAAAACCACCAACTTGTACTGGCAACATAATCAAAAGACACAATTTTTCTGTCATACATAATTTCCAGTGAGAATGCCAGCATTACTTAATATGCAGAGCATAGGGCTTGGGATTTTTCTAATTTTTATAGATGCCTTAAATTATAAGTGTAGTTTATAATGGAAATTAAAGATAATACCTGAACCTTATTAGCCATTTCATTATTGGTTTGATGGAAGATATTGTATTTATTGGACTTTGCTTTAGTAAACAAGCTACAATCCAACTTGGACAATGGATCTGTCAATATTATAATAACTAATGTGTTTCTCATTAGGCTGCCTCTGTTCTTTCTGGATGTTTTTACTAAAAACAGAGACATTTAGCTTAGAGTATCTTTTCAGACTGCTAACTTAAATGGACCTAAATAGCTTCTTTGTTATACTGTAAGTGCTGTCTTTGCCAAACTGAGACTGTATGCTCCAGCCACTCAGAAATCTGCCTAGATAGCACCATACTGTGGACAATTGTGCTAGGATTTTCTACATTCAAAATATGTATTCTCTCCCAGCTACAAAATTTGAAATAAACCCTTTCACTGGTACAACAAACACTTTATATCTTGCACTAGAGCTTTGATTTATGAAAATAGAACTAAATAAAATTTTTGCTTTCTTCTGTCCCAGCCACTGAAACTTGCTTCTAATGTACATTGCAAGTAGTTTTTTCCCTTCCATCAAGTTTCTCCCAGGTTATATTTCAAGAGGAGGGAACAAGAGAAGAGGGATTTAGGAAGTGTAGGTAGGAAACAGATCTGAAAAAGACTCAAGAGTTTAAACCTGGAGATATCTCCTCCTTATGTGGAGACAAAATTAGGATATTCTTAGGGCTAGAGATACTTTACAGAAGCAAGTGAACTATTTAAAAATATTTTTATTTGTTTAGTAGCAATGTGTTCCTTTGTTTTTGTATTAATCAAGTGTCTATAGGCCACACTATATCTTTCCTTGTTCCATCCAGCTTTGTCACATTAGAGACTTAATGTATGTCTAAGCCAAAAAGACATTTAGTGCTGGCAGTAGAAACACAGTAGAAATCCCTACAAGAAGAATATATGACTGATACTGGATCCAAAAATAAAATTTCTAACGGTAAGCTACCCAGAGTCATTGATTGAGGTGGGCAGCTGTAGAAACTGAATAAATAAATTTTGCTGTTAAAATTATTCTGGTATCTGTTTCTTTCCCAATGAATTAACTCTCATAGGCATCATGTATTTCTGTTGCATCAAAGTAAGGTTTAAAACTCAGTTCTTGGAAATAGGCTTTAAAATTTATCTCCCAGTAACAGTAGTCCGTAAGAAGACAGATAACCTCTACTCAATTTTATATTCTGTTGCTCATAAATCAACAAAACATATTTTAGCATTCAAACCTGGTACCTCAGACATAGCTAGTATCCAGCAGAGACATAAATTGGATATAAATTGCTTCTGATTTGGATGAGATATTAAAGTTTAAAAATCTTGCAAGTAGCAAGTAGTATTAAAGTTTAAATAATTGTATTTAAATCAGTAGTATTAAAATTTAAATCATTGACTTAATCAGCTACTTTTTTATTTGGTCAAAGGTAACAATTTCTTTCTTTCTTTCTCTCTCTCTCTCTGTCTCTGTCTTGCTCTGTCCCTCACCCCCTTCCACACAGACGACACTGAAATTGACTTTTAAATTTTCAAGTTATTTTAGTTTTATTGTCAACATATTTATTTATTTGAAACACTTGTGCGGCTGCCTATCTTAAAACCAGCTCTGAGCAGTTTAATATTGATAAAGCAATAAATACAATCATAAAACAAACACACACACACCCCAAAAGTGTTTGGATTACTTGTATCAGGTAGTCCTCGACATACAACAGTTCATTTAGTGACTGTTCAAAGTTAAAATGACACTGAAAAGTGACTTATGACCACTTATGACCATTGCAGCATCCTGTGGTCATGTATCAACATTGAGACACTTGTCAACTGACTCATATTTTTGACTTGTGGTGTCTTGGGGTCATGTGATCATCTTTTGCGACCTTCTTACAAAGTCAATGGGCAGCCTAGATTCGCTTAACAACTGTGTTACTAATTTAACATTGCAGTGATCCTCTTCTTTTTTTTAAACAAGTTTTATTGATTTTTTATTTTTACAACAAGGTGCTTGAGAAACAACGTGGTAACGGGGTAATCAATTATCCAAAAACAAAATCATACATATATAACTCAGATTAAATCATTAAAAACTCCTCTCTATTTCCCTCAAATAATATAATATATTCAAATTAATATATTTTTTCAATAAAAATTCAATCAATCAGAACAGTCATCAATAACGTTTCATCTGTATAAATCCAAATCCTGTTTTAAGCTTTACTATTTACAATTACCATATTCCAATTTGGTTTAGCTGAACATATTATTAACACTTCAGGTGTCCCTCCTTTCTCTTTTTCCTTGACATAATCCTTATCTCTAAAATACATATATTATTTCAACCATAACATTCTTGTATTTTCTACAAGTATTCTATTTTTTAATCTAGTAATTCATTTATTAATATCATTTCTTCTTTTATCAGAAATTCCTCTTATTCTCCTTCCATTACAAAATAGCTATTCTTCCTAAAAACAAGAATATTACTCCAAAAAATACATTTCTAATCTATTTTAAATCTATAATCTATCAATCAATCAATATCTATGTAAAATTCTTTTAACCCACTCAGTAAAATTTATATACAATCTGAATAATTGTTATATCCACAACAAACATATTAATACAGAAAAGACATCATCTTACTAAGTTCACATATTTAATTAATCTCTAACGCCTTATTTACCAATCTTGAACCTTAAGTCAATTCGTATCTAAAAAGCCTTTTTAACCCATTGCATACAATTTTAGGTGACATTCTTCAGTCTTATTCTAGCTTTCTTTTTGTGCCAAGCAGGTTTCCATAACAGAGCCTCTATATCAACAAAAAATCTCTCTTTATTCCTTGTGATATCATTTGATATCAATGTCCCCTCATCTGTTTTAGAAACCTGACTCCTTTGTAGATAATCCCTTGTTGTTTTAAAAGTTCAAGTCTCGACATTTGATTCTGCTGAGTAAGACAATTATGTCCAATTTTGTGGTTAGTAGTTGGTTATCAAAATTTTCATAGTTCTCAATCAGTTGTATTTGCACATCCATTTCTGTTACTTTTGCAATTGTATATGGTTTAGTTAAAGTCATTTTTTGGTCATCAGGAGTCTCAATAGGTTGTAATATAGAATGACATAAAATCTTCTTTAGTGTTGATTAATTCCTCTTCTGTTGTTTTTTGATCTGTAAAATAGTCAAATGAAGTCTGAGGGTCGGTTTGTAAGTTCAGAGTAGAATTTCTGTTTTTTATTTCTGTGGTAATCTCTTTTATTTGAACACATATTTGCTCAGTGGCTTCATAGATTTTTTTCCAATATAAGTTTACAGTTGAGTTGTGAATAGGGTTTCTCTATTTCCATAGTAACTAGAGATAGTCCTGTTATCTTTTAGTGGAGGCTGTGTTTAATAACATTTAGCCATTGTCCACCCCCAAGGATTTAACAACTGTTGAATTTCTTTGTTTTTTTTTTCTTTTATGATGATCTGAAGGTCAAAACCAATCTCAGCATCAAACAGAAAAAAAGTTGCAATTTTAATTTCTCCACAGGGTATCCTCAGTAGATTATAAAATCTCTTCCCAGACACCAAAAATGACGTTGGCAAAATCAGGAAAAAATAATATTCTTCACATATAAACTAAATCCAGTAATAAAATTCAATAATAAGAATTTTTTCAAGCCCCAAAGTAAATAGAAATAAAAAATAGTCAATTAAAATTAATTTTCATTCCATTTTCAAAGCTTCTCTTCCCACACTAACAAACGACGCTCTCTCAAAGAAGGGAAATAATTCCAAAAATGTTTTTTACAGGAAACAAAAAAGAGGAACGGGCTAAGAAAAGAAAGTCTCACCCGGATCAACCATGGTGGTTCTTTACGCTTAGATGTTCTTCTGACTTTCTGTTATTGCAGCAAAGTGATCGGCCATTTTACTGGCCGATCTTTTCTCTGTCGGCCCTAAGGAGCAATCTCGGATCGCGGAAGGAGCTGCTGCCCTTCCACAGTCAAAGAGGGCCTCAACGGTAGTCGCCCCTCCAGGGCGACTTTTCGACCTGATTAAGGGTCTACCGGCAGAGGGAAAGCAGCCGGCAAAGAGAGGAGTTTCTTCACATGGCTGCACATGCCACGATCCAAAACCGGAAATCACTGCAGTGATCCTCTTAACTGTGGCAATAAAGGTTATAAAATAGGGCAAAATTCACTTAATTATCTTGCTTAGCAACAGAAATTTTGGGCTCAATTGTGATCATAACTCGAGGACTACTTGTATTTTAAAGAAATTTGTAGTGATGCAAAAAACTAAATACAATGTTGTGTAACTTGATTTTTCTTCTGTTTTCCCACAGTTTGTAGCCCATCCTAACTGTCAGCAACAGCTGTTGACCATCTGGTATGAAAACCTTTCAGGATTACGAGAACAGGTCATAGCTATCAAGTGTCTGGTTGTGCTGGTTGTTGCACTGGGCCTTCCATTTCTTGCCACAGGATACTGGATCGCACCATGTAGCAGGGTACAGAATCCCCCCCCTTCATATTCTTTCCTTACATTTAAACTAATTAACTTTGGGGAAAATACCTTTGTATGAAAGCTTTTCTTTAAAAATAATGTAACTATGCTGATTATTTTTGTACAGTAGAAACCATCATATTAATTATTGATTTCCTTCACTTAGTATAGTGAACAGAATATGTTATTTTCCTTACTTTATCATCATTCTGTGCACAGATGATTCTGGAATATATATAGGCTTATTTATATTTAAGCTTCTGTACATAGATAGAAATCTCTTCCATCTTCTACAGAGCTAAAGGCAGTGAGTCACACTGTGTTTACCTTTGCAATACATTTGTTCTTAAAGGATCAAAGCAACCTTGTATTATTTTAATAATAATAAAAAGATGGCAAACCATGTGCACACAAAAACTTGTTCTATTGAAGTTAGACTTATTAATAGCGTTTTACTTCTGAGCAAACTTGAGTTGAAACTTGGCTGGTTGTAATATTCTGGGACTTTGTCCAACCATGTTTGCCAGACAAATAACTAAATGTCCATTTTTTTCAATGGACTGAAAAGGGGGGGAAGCTCTTTTAATAGTTGGACATGGGGGAAGAGTCATTGGGACTCCTCTATTGGTACAATCAGGGAATGCTACCGTATCTTTCAATTTGGAAAAGAGAACTGATCATAGATAATATCAAAGCACTATAAATTATGCTTGCTAATACTTTTCTTATCCAGTAGGGTATTGTGCCGTAATTTCCTTAATTCACCTACTATGAATGGGTGGCTGGTTTACCAAGGAATGCCTTCATCTCAAGTTCTCAGGCAGTGCTTGCAAAATTCCACCAGATTCCACCAGACTAACAGTATGCTTAAAGAAAGCTAAGCAGATAAAGAGAGAATTATAGATGTATTCCAACAACACTTCCTGTAGTTTGCTAATAGAAAGACTATAGCGGAGCTAGGGAGCACATAGTTGACATTCCATGTATCAGGAGCACAACCTGGCCTTGCATTTCATCTATACTAGTTCAGAACTAGTAGAGATGGAATGCAAGAAACACTAACCTACAGAACAGGATTTGCTTCTTATGCACTTCCCTCTTATAAATGGGTTTTGGGCAGTGTATCTGTCATACCTAAATGCAGGACTAATCTAAGATGTATTGTTTTAAAAAACTAAAATGGAGTGGTCAAAAACTTCTTTAAATGTTTGAAATCAAAATGAGCAGTTCAGACTTCACTAGAAGTATTCCAACCTTTAATGCCTTACTCAGAAGATTCCCAAGTTGACAAAAACGGCTGTTTTCAGGTTGGAGCTCTCCTGATTAGGTGAGAACAAACCATTTCAAACTGGAAACAGCCATTTCCAATTCATTTTGAGTTTGATTATTTAAACACACATACTGTACCTATAAGATGAATAAACTGGGTGTGTTTTGTTTGCAAAATATATGAAACCCTTCTTCGAACTTTATGTGTACTTTTTGTTGGCAGTAATGATGAAAATAAAGTGGTTTTCACTAATATAAATAAGCCATTGTTTTCAATTTTTTTTTAAAAAAAGGTGTCTCATCTGATTCCAACTTAAGACATAATAAGTGAGCTCATACATTGGTCAAAAATAAAAAAAAACCCACATGGTTTAGTACTATTTATGGACAAGATGAAAAAGTTGGGAAATCCCAATGTATTTTATGCCTTTAGACTATTTGCTGAAAATGAAAGCATGTATAGATGAAAAATAAGTCAAAGCAAAAACCATACTTTTACTTTGCCTTCTTAGCTTGGGAAAATTCTCCGGAGTCCATTTATGAAATTTGTGGCACATGCAGCCTCCTTCATTATTTTCTTGGGACTACTAGTATTTAATGCTTCAGATAGATTTGAAGGCATCTCAGTATTACCAAATGAAACAGTTATTGATTACCCAAAACAGATCTTTCGAGTTAAGACAACTCAGTTCACTTGGACAGAGATGCTGATCATGATATGGGTGCTTGGTATGTATATATCTTATCACTCCCTTATTGCAGTGCATATTTTTTTAGATATCTCTGCATGACGCCATAATGATAAATAGATCTCAGCAGATTTCTAGAAAATATGGAATTAATAATATAGATAGCATACAATAAAAGAACTCTAAACTAGAGACTACCTTGGAAATCATGATAGCAATAGTATGTTGAGAAACATTGTTGTACTGTACAGTGACCCCCACATATTAATCATTAAGTTTTTAAGTAACTGATATTGCAATGATTTTAGTCCAATATTTAGGGACATTTTAATGTATTTCTTTAATAGTGTGGATGTTGCTACTATGTGATCCAATTCCATCTATTTCATTTATGTAAGAAACTTCATGAGTATAATTTGTAATAGTATGCACTGGCATGTTATACAATGTGAGTAGGCCTGAAAACATCTGCGTCATTCTGACATGTGTATGCCTTTTGTTTCTGGTCTGAAAGTATAGTCATATGCAGGTCTATTAAAAAAAGTTAAATTAATCAGGTTAATGAGACTTAATCTCAGGTTGGTATGTTTGGATTGCTTCCTTAATAACTCTTAGCTGGATTTCATTGCATTTCTTTTTCAGGTATGATGTGGTCTGAGTGTAAAGAACTCTGGCTAGAAGGACCCCGTGAATACATTCTGCAGCTTTGGAATGTTCTCGATTTTGGAATGTTATCTATTTTTATTGCTGCTTTCACAGCTAGACTGTTGGCCTTTTTACAAGCTACTAAAGCACAAAACTATGTGGACAAATATATTCAGGAGACAGATCTCTCTGTAGTCACACTTCCACCAGATATAGAGTATTTTACTTATGGTAAGTTCAAAAATGTTGCCATGACTCTGGTATATCAGAATGGCTAATAGTCTTTAAAGTACGGGTAGCTAACTCTCAACTGGACAGGGCCTGAACACATATTATGTTTAACCCACATGGCAGGTTTAGCAACACTTTATGCAAGGCATTATGGGGCTGTATATTAGTCATAGACTCTATATTCCTGCTTTTGAATTGTGATTTCTTATTAAATTTAGCTATATATTTTTTGCTGTTAGGATGTTGTTAATTAGTTTTTACTAGTCATTCTTTTTACTTATTTTAATTTATAAAAAGCAAACTAGTTTGATCTGAAAAAAGATATTAAAGTAAAAATGTTCTATAGTTTGAATTTCTAAAGAGGATAACTAATTGTTGTTTGATTGGTCCAGAGAAAATATTGTTCAGAATATTTATTGAGCTCTAATTATTTGAAAATATTTACATAGATCTTTAAACCATACATACATAGACACAACACAAACAGAAAGAAATAGACTCATAAAACTGCTAATTGTTTTTATTTTGGCAATACAGTGAACAAATAGATAAAACTAACAATCTTGTTTATGTCATTAAATTTAGCTAGAGATAAATGGCTCCCATCTGATCCACAAATCATATCGGAAGGTCTTTATGCAATTGCTGTTGTGCTTAGTTTCTCTCGGATTGCTTATATTTTACCTGCAAATGAGAGTTTCGGACCACTGCAGATTTCACTTGGAAGAACTGTTAAAGACATTTTCAAGTTTATGGTTCTTTTTATTATGGTATTTCTTGCTTTTATGATTGGAATGTTCATACTGTACTCTTACTATCTTGGAGCCAAAGTAAATGCAGCTTTTACTACGTAAGTAAAAAGTGCAGAAACAATTATTACTGTACTTATTTCTGATCAAATTTGCTGAAAGGTTTGATGACTACATACATAGGAAGGTACATTTATGGAGTTTTCTTGACAATTATACCGAAACAGTTTGCAGGGATATTTTTTTTTACAAAGATTTGTAAGAAAAAGAAAGGAAGGGATATTAAAATTAAACTTGACAATGATAAAATTAAGGAGGAAGGAAAGGAAATTCAAAGTTAAAGGAGCTGGATATGTGAAAACATAGACATGAGTAAAAAGCTTTAGAAACACCTGAGAAAGAGGGTGAAGAGACTGACCAGCAGCCACACAATAGTTGTTTCAAAGACACAATATAGTATCTGTAGCTGCACAAAAAGGTAGTTTGTCTATACCAGTGATGGCGAACTTTTTAGAGACCGAGTGCCCAAACTGCAACCCAAACCCCACTTATGCATCGTTGGGTGCCGGATGGCTGTGGCCTATTATGTGGGTGTGGCCCATTGGGTGGGCGTGGCTGCAGTGGTAACAGCAGATGGGTGGGACTAAAAAGTTCAATCAATTCCAACTTTGCAAGATCTTTTTTTTCCCACGAGAATTTGAAGTTGACTGATTGATTGAACCTTTTTTTTTTTGTACACGGCGGCGGAGGCCTAAAGCGAAAAGGTTTTATAAAACCCAGCTGAAGGCCTAGGACTGGGGTGACAGCGCGCATGCTCACAGAGAGGGCTCTGAGTGCCGCCTCTGGCACCTGTGCCATAGGTTCACCACCACTGGTCTATACAACTGAAGTTAGCCCTGCAGTACCAGAAAACAACTCTAACATTTGTCGCTTTGAATGCAGTTGAATCAGTCATTGCAAGACTAATTAATCTGGGGTCTTTGAGATGTTTTAGACTTCCACACACATTACCTACAGCTGGAATACTTAATATAAGGATTTGTACAAGTTATAAAAATGTCAAAAGGGCACCAGTTTGTTCACCTTGAGTTGTAAAGTAACAGAATGGTTGACAGAAAAACGGAGACTTCTAAATTTATGTATTCTTTGCATTTACCTAATATTTTATGTTATGTTTATTTGCTATAATTGTTTCTAATATTTCAATATATATTCAGTATAGTGCTACTATAACATTAGATTTTGTTGGGCTCATGGGCTGACATTAATGTTGTGTTTATTAAAAGCCTTCTATTGGCAAAAATCACTATTATAAAATGGCACTTTTATAGCAGCTTGTCAATTAAGAACCTCTTTTTAGTTTCCAAACCTTTTGAGAGAAGCCTACCTTTGTATCGTGGTTATTGCACTGTGTCTGTATATGCTCATGTGTAAACCCAGCTGTATATGCTCGTATGTAAATCCAGCTATTGTGGCTTGAAATTTGTGGTTTATGTTGCAGAAATCCAACTAAATGATGTTTAGTAAAATATCATTCAATTCTAGTTTTGTATAATGTCAAGCTAGATTGCTGTCTCCATTCATTCTTGTGATGCTGTTTGGTAATTTTTTAGAATTTGAAATTATTTTCTGTTTGACAATGAATCAATATAAGTTGTAAGGTTGTAATCTGATATTTAAAGATATCAGAAATAGTGACTTACTATATTAAAGAGTATAGCTCCACATCTACAAATTTAATTGGCCGTATACAATAGGGCGTAGCTCAATCAGTTTCTCAGTAAAAAGATTTTATGTTGTGTGCATTAAGCCCTCTATCACTTTGTTTATTAAGCTAATTAAACTATAAAACCTGTAATAATGTTCTAATGCTTTTTTTTCTTTTCATGCAGTGTTGAAGAAAGCTTTAAGACTTTATTTTGGTCAATATTTGGTTTATCAGAAGTTACATCAGTTGTCCTCAAATATGATCATAAGTTCATTGAAAATATTGGTTATGTATTATATGGAATATATAATGTAACAATGGTTGTGGTTTTACTCAACATGCTGATTGCAATGATTAACAGCTCATACCAAGAAATAGAGGTATGTTTCAATAGTATTCGTATATTTAGAACTGAGAAATAATTTTGATTTTGATAGTTTCCTCTGCTGAGTTGTGAAAATGGATATAGCCCAGTGGTTCTCATCCTATGGTCTGTGGACCTCGGGGGGCGGGCACAATGTTCTCACAGGGGATCCATGAAGGCTTGAAGAAATGTTATGATTTAAATCTTAAGTCTTGGTGGTTTGTGACCATGGTCTGTGGCCACAAAATATATTTAAAGGGGGTCTGTGGTGAAAAGGTTAAGAATCACTGATATCACCAATTTCCCTACATCAATTTTTTTTGTTTTTTTCTTTAGATATATAATTTTTAAGATGTATTACCTAGCAATCAAATTAAGGTGTGAATTAATATAAATAAAATTTTTCTATTGTTTTATCAAAAGCAGTCAGTTGTTTAATGGAAGATAATAAAAAACTTAACTTGTTTTGCCTAAGCCAGGGGTAGGCAACCTTGGCTCTTTTATGACTCATGGACCTCAGCTCCTAGAATTCCTAGCTGAACCATGCTGGCTCAGGAATTCTGGGAGTTGAAGTCCATGAGTCATAAAAGAACCAAGGTTGCCTATCCATGGCCTAAGCTTTTGGAAGTGCCTAAAATATACTTTTCTATAAGTAGAGATTTTTCTGACAAAACAGTAGATCTAGATATTTATATTTATAGTTAGACTAATAAAATTCTGAAAAGATGAGAAAGTAGCAGCATTTACTTCATAATAAAAAGAAGAAAATTACTTGTGAATGGAAAATTATTTTGTTTCTGACACAGGATGACAGTGATGTGGAGTGGAAATTTGCTCGTTCCAAACTTTGGCTATCGTACTTTGATGATGGAAAAACCCTACCACCCCCATTTAGCCTTGTACCAAGTCCCAAATCGTTCTTTTATTTCTTCATGAAGATCATTAAGTTATTGAGGTGCAGAAGGAAAAGATTACAGAAAGACATGGAAATGGGAATAGGTAACTCAAAATCCAGGGTAAGTTTAGTTCATATATATACACATATATAAAATTCCTCCTAGACCGAATCAACAAAGATCTCCTTACACTTCACCTCTAATTCAGCAACAAGATCCACCCCCACTATGGGACAAATCCAAACAACTCACCGTCTGGAGAGCCGAAACACAGACCACCCTCAAGACAGACATACACACCAACAAACTCCGAAGACTACAAGAACGCCAGAAACAAACCCTTCCTCCCTCACAGCCACACATGAAGCAAACAGTGTATAACATCTCAGATAGGATCCTCACCAAAGCCGAAACCAATGTTCTTTCCAAAGGATTCAACTTTGCAGTCGCTCCCAAACACATCCCCACTGAAACCATTATATGTGAAGTTGAAACCAGCCTGACCAAAATCAACCCCGACGACGCTAACAGAATCAGACTCAAAATCACCAACATCCTCTGCACCAGCAAGCCACCCAAAAGCAACTTACCCAAAGAGGAACAGACAGCACTACTTAACCTGAAAGAAGACACCAGCATAATAATCCTACCATCAGACAAGGCAACGCCATGGTGGTTATGAACGCATCTGACTACCAAACCAAATTAACCAACCTACTCCGAGACTCCACATACAAACCCTAAACACAGATCCCACCACCTACCTGGAAAAAACCACTAGATCCAAAATAAAAGCCTCCCCCATTAGCAAAGAGATCCAGCAAAGAATCATTCCCAGAGAGAAATCATCCAGATGCCCTAAGCTCTATGGTCTCCCCAAGATACACAAAGAAGGAACCCCCACCTAGACCCATGGTCAGCTCCATAGGCTCACCTCTACAAAACCTAGCCAAATTTCTCACCAAACAACTACAGCCCTATGCAGAATCCATCACCTCACACTTAAAAAACTCACTCCAGTTCATAGAGATCATAAAGAAACAAAACTTACAGCCCAGCGACCTATCGTGAGCTTCGATGTCATATCCCTCTTCACCCAAGAGCCAATCAAAGAAGCCTGGACAGCCATCCAAAACAAATATAACCCCCCCCCCCAAACACATCCTAGATCTGACCAACCACTGCCTATCCAACACATACTTCATCTATAACGGACAAAAATACAAACAAATAGAAGGAGCACCCATGGGATCACCCCTCTCACCTGTCATTGGCAACCTCTACATGGAACACTTTGAAACCCAAGCTCTAGAAAAATCTGATCACAAACCCAAACTCTGGCTCAGATACGTAGACGACATCTTCATAATCTGGCCACATGGAAAAGAAAAACTGGATAACTTCCTCACACACCTCAACAGCCTACACCCCAAAATACAGTTCACCATGGAAACAGAAGCTAATAACCAACTTCCCTTCCTGGATGTCTTAGTCTACAAGAAATCCAATGGCTCCCTACGACACACCATCTACCAGAAAAAAATACAAACAAACCGCTATCTGCACGCACTCTCACACTACCACCCAGCACAGATCAACTCCGTAGCCAAGACACTCATCTCCAGAACAAAACGCTTAGCTGATGAACAACACCTAAAAACCAAACTACACACTCTCACTAATGTACTAACATCCAACAGATTCCAAAGAAATAAGATTACCAACCTAATCCAAAAAGAAATCCCCACTAAAATCCAAGACAGAGAACAAGAAAACGGCAAAGCCCTCCTCCCATACATAAAAGGCACCACAGACAGAATCAGCAAGATCCTCCACAAACACAACATCAAGACAGCATTCTGCACAAACAGAAAAATATCCACCATCCTAAGAAACCCCAAAGACAAAATTGAGTTAGAAAATCAAGGAGTATATGAAATCTCATGCTCCGCTTGCCCCACCACATACATCAGACAAACCAACAGAAGAATAAGTGCACGCACTGAAAAACACAAGAACTCAGTCAAAAAAGAGGAATCAACTTCTTCCCTGGTCCAACACCTTAAAGCCACAGGATATGAAATTGACTTTAAAAAGACCAGAACTATCGCCAAAACTGAACACTTTAATAACAGAATAATCAGAGAAGCCATCGAGATAGAAAAACGCCCACACAGCATGAATAAATGAGATGATACCTCCCGCCTAGCAACCATTTGGAAACCCGCCCTTATTGACAAACGACTCCCTAACACAAAGAATGACACCAGACCCACACTCATGAAAACCACACAGGATGTTACCACCACACATCCATGCAAAAAGCAAACCCAAACCCACACCGATGATGAGGCATGACCACAAACCAGAAGCCAGACCACAGCTGCATCATTAGCCACTTTAAACCCTTCCAATCCATACATGAAGCAAACTGACACCCACCATGAAGATGAGGCATGACCACGAACGCGCAGCCAAACAACAGCAACGCAGCTCACCATCTCAAATCCCCCTGCAATTCAGACTAACCTGAGCACAGACTAACCTGAGCACACCCAAACGGAACACTCCCCCATCCAATCAGAGTACAGCCAACCCCCATCCAATCAGAGCACAGCCAAGCCCCTAACCAATCAGAACACACCTCCACCCAATCAGAACACAGCCAAGCTCTCACCCAATCAGTTCATACCCCCACTGGCAATTAAAAGGAAGAAACAGCTACGATCACACATTGCTCATAGAAACACGAAGTCAAAAACACCAGCCTGAAGATGACGAATGGGACTTCGTCGAAACGTCGCCAAGACACTTCCAATTTTACGCGGGAGAAAAGCCAAATAATACATACACACACACATACACACACACATACAGTGTTTATTTTTGTTTAATTTGTTGAATCCTAAATTATAGTTTTCATGTAAAAGACATGCTTTCTTGCTTTAAATTCTGCATATTTGCAATGTCAGTATCGGTTCATATCCATTTATCCACCTAAATGAGAAGAAAAAAAAGACTAGAGGTAGTCCTCACCTAATGATCACATTTGGGCCTGGAATTTTGGTCACAAGTCATTGTTGTCATTAAATGGGTCACCACATAACTTGACTCGATTTTACAATTATTTGTACAATGGTAGAAAAGCAAATCACCATGATCATTGAGTAAACCACGTGGTTGTGAAGCATGTTTGTTAACCACGTGATTACAGGGTTAAGCAAATCTATTCTGAATGAATATTTTTTACTGGAAAACTAGCAAAAATGTTGTAAATTGTGGTCATGTGACTGTAGAATGCTGCAACCAGTTGTAAATGCAAACTGGTTGTCAAGTGCCTGAAATGCTGTTCTGTGACTATGAGGGTTTGTCTGCGGCAGTCGTAACTTTAAGGATGGGTTGTAACTTTGGAGGGGGGTATCCTGTTGTAACTTCAAACAGTTGGTGTAAGTGAAGAGTACATATAGTGGACCTTCAGTGGCTGTGACTCCTCATCACCTCATAATGTAGTGACCACAAGGGGCAGTGAAGTATAGAGTTAAGATTTACATTGTCTATCACTGTCCTGCTCTTTGTTTAATCTCAGTTTATTTATGGTACAAATAGTCCTCGACTATCTGTACCACAATAATTGAACCCATAATTTCTGTTGTTAAGTGAGACATTTGTTAAACGAGTTTTGCCCCATTTTACTACCTGTCTTGCCTCAGTTGTTAAGTGAATCATTGCAGTTGATAAGTTAGTAACCCAATTCCTCGACTTTGCTTGTCAGAAGGTCACAAAAGGTGATCACATGATTTTGAGTCACAGCAATGGTCATAAATATGAACCAGTTGTCAAGCATCTGAATTTTAATACATGATCATGGGGATGCTGCAAAGGTCATAACTGTGAAAAATGGTCATAAGTCACTTTTTTCAGTGCCATTGTAACTTTGAATGGTCACTAAATGAACTATTGTAAGTCAAGGACTACCTGTACTTCTATCTTTGCTTTCAATAAAAAGCACTTATTCTCTAATTCTTAGTCTTGTAATTAGTTAGATGTTAGATTTTGCATCCCCCCCCATCATGTATTCGCTTAAATGCATTTATTATAAAAATCTGATTCATTAATAAGTACTTAGATTCCTGCTCTTGGGAACAGTCCTGAGAAAGAGGTGTCTTGGTTATAATAAGATAGATTTGATATCCCTGCCTCCACATCTCTTTCAGGGATGAAGCTTTATTGCATTAGGAAATATGGACTGGACTGTATGTAAATGTATTGCAGTGTAGATGATACAGTACAGATATGAAATAGTATTTCTTCGGTGGAATATTTTTAGGGAGAAGACAAATGAAACTTGATAATGATAACAATAATGATTTTTACTATTCCTTTCTTTTCAAAGGAGATTTCTAGAATAGTTTTGTCCTTTTAAATAAGTAGCTAAAATAATATGAGATGCTGTTGAATGCATTCTGCACTATAAAAAGTGTTCACCTGAAATGTAGATGGATTAGAAAACTTTCCATGTGCAAGCAAGGGGAATGAAACCCATGGACTTCTGTGTTTAATTCAAAGTGTGCAGGAGCTCTTTTCAATTCAGCTAAATGACATTGCTCATACATTAGGAATGCTACCTTTTGCCATTATCTCAGATCCACGTGTAATTAATTCCCTTTTTAACTTAGAAATGACTTAGAAGAATGCAAGCCTTATGTCACTTCAATAGCAAAAAAATGTGCTTGTATGAAGGATATGATATAAGGCATAACCAGTATCAAGGACAAAGACTACATACATTATTCCTTATTTCATGCATATTTGGGTATCTAATATCTTTTTCAAGGAAAAGGGGCTTTATTTTTGTTTTTTTAATGTAAAACCTGGGCATACTGGATGTCTGAAGAATGTGCCATCAATCAGTTAGAATTATCCTTGCCTTCATTCTTTACTGCTGCCTCTTCTTTGTCTTGATTGAGTCAGTGGCTCCTATCCTAGCAGGCACTTGCTATGCTGCAGTAGCTGAGCCTCACTATTAATAATGAGAAGTTTTCTTTTTTTATGCTGTCAGTTGCATGAAAAATAACCAAAAATATAAGTTTCACTTCTGACAATCTAATCACATTTTTCTCATATTCAGTGCATTACTATTTATTTTACTGTTATAAATATTGTTTAGTTCTAATGTCCTGTTCAACCCAAGCACAAGCTATGGGGGAGTTGTTAGGCTATGTAAGATGCGTACAGTAACAATTGTTTTTCAGGAATAAGCATTCTTTTATATCTGTTTGGTTTAGGAAATGGTTAAAATAATATATTTCTATTTAAGTGCATTGTTCAATCTAGGAATAGATATATATTTTAGTAATATGACAAATTGAAACTTGTTTCTTTCAGAATTTTATCCTGAATGGTAATAATTTCTGTAATCAGTCATTAAGTATTAGCATCTTATATAGTAACTGCAAATATTATGGAAGCTATTTTAATTCAAATATATTGTTTTCTAGCTAAATCTCTTTTCTCAGTCCAACTCAAGAGTTTTTGAATCACACAGTTTTAACAGTATTCTCAACCAATCTTCACGCTATCAGGTAAGCACTTATTTGGATAACGTGAATTCATTATAAACTCTTATGAAATGCATTTAGATTTTTTCCATTTATGGTTAAAATCAGACATATTGCATACCTAGTGTTCTATGTGTTTAACTGTAAAAGGTTTTCTTACATCCTCTTGGGAGATAAAATTCCAGTTGTCCATTATATCACTGCTTGTTTAAAAACTTGTACTTTTTCCCCTCACTGTATAATTATTAAAGCAGAGCACAACTTGGAACATCCAGACAATCCCTCTTCCGTGTTCGCATCACTTAATGATGGCCACTTCCTGTAGACAATTCACTACAATTGTCTGCTGGAAGGAGTCTACTGTATGTGCATGCATCTGTATCTATGTTGGCTGTTATGGGATTCATAACCCAGGTGCTGGATACTGGAAAACCAATGAAATGCTGTGGACATAGTATATTTAGACTTCAGCAAGGCATTTGACAAAGTAGACCACAATCCACTTCTTGGTAAGCTAGAAAAATGTGGGATAGACAGCATAACTACCAAATGGATTCGTAACTGGCTGACAAACTGTACGCAACGAGTAGTCCTTAATGGTACTACATCTACATGGAGGAAAGTAAGCAGTGGGGTACCAGAAGGTTCTGTCTTAGACCCAGTACTCTTCAAAATCTTCATAAATGATTTAGATGAGGGAATGGAAGGGGATTTCATCAAATTTGCAGATCACACTAAGATGGCAGGAATAGCCAACACTCCAGAAGACAAGCTCAGGATCCAAAAAGATCTTGACAGATTTGAACAATGGGCCCTATCCAACAAAATGATATTTAATGTGGACAAAAGCAAAGTTTTACACCTGGGCAGGAAAAACCAAACGTACAAGTACAGATTAGGCGAAACCTGGCTCAAAAACCTTGGAGTCCTAGTGGACGATCACTTAAACATGAGTCAGCAGCGTGTGGCAGTAGCCAAAAAAGCTAATACAATCCTTGGTTGTATAAACAGAGGCATAGAATCAAAATCATGTGAAGTATTAGTATTGCTTTATAAAGCCTTAGTAAAGCCACACCTGGAATACCGCATCCAGTTTTGGTCACCACATTACAAAAAAAAGATGTTGAGAATTTGGAAAAAAGTGCAAAGAGGAACTAAGATGATTAAAGGCCTGGAGACTAAAATATATGAAGAATGGTTGTAGGATTGGGAATGGCCAAGAAGGACTAGGGGGGAACATGATAGCAATATTCCAGTATTTGAGAGGCTGCCATAAGGAGGAGGGGGTCAATTTGTTTTCCAAAGCACCAGAAGGCAAGACAAGAAATAACGTATGGAAACTAATCAAGGAGAGAAGCTATCTGGAATTAAGGAGAAACTTCCTAACAGGGAGGACAATAACCAGTGGAACAGCTTGCCTTCAGACATTGTGGGAGGCTTTTAAGAAGACTGGACAGCCACTTGTCTGAAATGATATAGGGACTCCTGCTTGAGTAGGGGGCTGGACTAGAAGACCTCCAAGGTCACTTCCACCTTTATTCTGATTCTAATTCTAATTCAACCTATCTTCTGTCCTGCAGATACTGATATAAATGGTACCAGGGTGAAAGGGGGGTAACTTAGTGTACTTATGTGTTTATGCATTTCATAAGGTTAAGAACTCTCTCACTTTTAAACTGCATCTAGATGACTTTACAGAAGTGACAAAAATGTTTCAAATAAGTATGATGACTTCAGAAGTCTCTTTGTACTTCTCTAAGTTGGTCTTGTACCACTCCCTCTCCAAAGTTAAAATAACACAAAATAAAATAGTACATGGGAAGACAACAGAACAGAAATAGCCTGAGAGAAGAGGCAAATACTGCCATTACTTTGCAATTAAATATCTCCGATACAGTATCTCCTGCATTTCTGTACAGTAACTTCCTTTTCTTCAAATGAAAAGGGGAAATGACTGATAATGACAAATACGGGAAATGGACAAATTAACAACCAAAGCAATGAAGAAAATGTGTTGCATTTTAAGCCACTGGTTCAGTGGATTAGCACAGATGTGTCTTTTTTCCTGTCTAAAGGAAATACAAGAGGTCTTCCATCATATTTTTTTTCCCTTGTTGGGGAGAGAAATTGATGTCAAAAACGAATGTAGGTCAGTGGGACAGGTATGAATGGAACAAGTAAGCATTCCAAAAATTCCAAAAAACACCACTAGCCGGACACATTGTAGTCATCTAATTTGCCTCTAAATATTGTTTAGAAAAACAGAGGCAATTCTGCAAACTTAAGATTTCAATTATGTTAAATAAGAAAATATTACTTTTATACCAGTACCAATAATACCAATATAAGACTTTTGACCTATGAATAGTGAATAAGATAAATATAATATTGTAGGAGCACATGGAAAATTAGTGGTGTTAGGGCATGTGCATGTGTGCAAATGTGGACAAACCCACATGTCCTTTTGAATGAAATTTGGGGAAGAATTGGGGTACTCACCTATCTATGAAGTCCTGTTCACAAGAGCTGCCTAGGTATGTGTTTGTTAAAGAGTAAGAATAATTAGCAGGGATACACAAATTGAATCAGGGGAGGTAGTTCATTCAAAGTAAGCTGTTTTTTTCTTGTTTAGCTTCTTCCCCAGTATATTGTTCTAATTTGTTTCATATAATGCCCTTAATTTTAAAACGAGAATACAAAAATGCCCCAAACTTCTGTTCTTTGTTGTGCTAATTGATTTTTATACAGATATAATTTTTATAAAAATTATAATTTAAAAAGGAATTTAAGACTATACAGTTGAACGTCTAGTTCTACTTTCGATGTAAAAACTTGAAAATGAATGTTTGACTGCGCTAAAATGGAACTAAATCCTGTAACTTGTATCGTGTAGCCTGACTTTATTACAGTTGAAGATTCAGATATTTTTTCAGGACTTAACAGGAGCATGCATTTAAAATTAGGATGGCAAGTAAATAAATACAAATTTGATTAAGTTTTTCCCCTCCAACAGCAAATCATGAAGAGACTTATAAAACGTTACGTTTTGAAAGCCCAGGTAGACAAGGAAAATGATGAAGTCAATGAAGGTAAGAGCCTATAGCAGTAATGGCGAACCTTTTAGAGACCGAGTACCCAAACTGCAACCCAAAACCCACTTATGCATTGTCGGGTGCCGGGTGGGTGTGGCCCATTGGGTGGCCGTGGCTGTGGTGGTAACAGCAGACTGGGTGGGACTAAAAAGTTCAATCAATCAATTCCAACTTTGCGAGATCTTTTTTTTTCCCGCGAGAAGTTGAAATTGACTGATTGAACCTAAAGCAAAAAGGTTTTATAAAACCCAGCTGAAGGCCTAGGACTGGGGTGATGGCATGCGTGCCCACAGAGAGGGCTCTGAGTGCCACTTCTGGCACCCGTGCCATAGATTCACCACCACTGGCCTATTGAGTTATTCATACGGTAATATAAATGTAAAAGAAAAAAATGAAAAGTGCTGGAGATCGGAGAAATCAGAGATTTGGATTATGGGAGGAATGATTCTTTCTGCTTTGGGCTTCAAAACAGATATTTAACACTGTAAATGTGGGTAAAAACAGTGAAGTGGAGAAAATAGTGTATCTAATAATAGACATAGTGTTTTTCTTAGTAAACTAAAGTCATTAAATTAATAAATGATTTGCACTGGGATAAATTACTTTTACAAAAATAATCTTTTAACTACTGTATAGGCCAGATTAAATACTTGAAAATAACTAAAATATTAAATCTTCAAAATGCAGCAGTCTTAACCTTTAGAAATATCCACGAGTTGGATTCGCTTCTAAAATTAGCTGATAAAAAAAGAAAATATACATGACCTAAATCTCTCTGGGGTAATGTTTTGCTTTAAGATATGAAAAGTTTTACAACAGAAAATAAAAAAGTTACTTGATATTTTGATAAACATACAAACATGCACACCATTTACAATTTATATTTGGAAGTGAGGGGGTTCTTTTTAGCTTTTTGTTTCTCTTCCTAGGTAAAACTGAATCCCTTCCCCATTACAAACAAGATCTCAGAATTTCTTTAAATTCAGTTTCAAATATCTTATTTATTTTTGTATTCGGAAAACATTAGAAAAAACTCAAATTTTGAAACTAATTGTGCTATGCAGTTTTAAGATTACAGATCTTTTATTCAAACTGCATGCTCTTAAAATGAATGTCAGGATTTTTAGTATAGTTTTATAATGCATATTATAACACATTATTCTGAAAATTAAAATCAAGCCAAGCTCCCTACTGTTTACTTTTTAAGTAAATAATATTATGAATTCTTACTTGGTAAAATGTTCTTTGAATTCGGATTTTTGTCAAATAATTCATAGGACTGTGCAACATAGTGAATTAACAACTTCTTGTTCATATGAATTCCAAATCTGAAAAATTATATTAGAGAGATTGGATGTTGCTGAGATTTAACTGGCTTGAATAAATCATATTCTAATAACATTTATTATATGAAGAATATCTTCAAAATATGTAGAATTCAAATAACTATATAGCTGATTTATATAGGTTCATTTAAATGCCCATATGATGAGACAAATGAGTAAATTTGATTAGTTTCTACAATAGTTATCCTGATTGTGAAGTGTACCTGTTTTTGATTAATAACACTAAACCTCCCCCAACTGGATATTTTAGATGTGATGGTCAAAGCTCCCAGAAAATCAAAGAAGGGTAATTTTAATATGCCTAAACAAAATGCAGACTTACTGATTTCAAAATTAATACACCGTATGCCGAATCTTTGAAGTTAAGAAGATTTAAACATACTTAAAATTGGCTGGATTGTGTCTTTTCTTTGTAATGCATTTATATGTGTTTTTAAGATAACAAACTGGAGAGGAGGTTATGTTTGCTTCTTTGTTTGAGGAATTTTACCTCAAGAACATTATATAAATTTCATGTCTGCAGGTCATTAAAGACTCTGGAGAGCCAACTTGCCACTATCAATTCTCCATGGCCAATTCACCACAGGACAACTCAATGAGACACGAGAGTTACACTAATATTGAAGAAATAGTCAAACAGAATCATTAAAGAGAGGATGCCAAAGGAGGGACCAAATGACAATTTTTTTAAAAAAAAATTTGAAATAATTAAATTGAATTGCTGAATTGTCCCGCAGTGAATTGTGCTGTGGCAAGCTGGCCACTGCAAATTGGCCATGGCAAGTAAACAGTGGCAAGTTGGCTGTAGTGAGTTGGCTGTGGCGAGTTATCCCATTCCATCTGGAGATATAGCATCATTGCTTGAATGTGAAACTTTTTGTCTGGAAAACAAATTGGAAAAAGTGAAGGTTACAGTTCATCTTTCAATTATTTCACATTTGCTCAAAACTTTCAGTTGTAATGACTTTGAATATCTGTTTATGTGATGATTCATCAATATAAATTGAAGAACTTCAACTGCTTGGTCTTATGAATAAACAATGTAGCAGATTGATACTTTATCAAGTTATGTTAAATGGTTTTTTTGTTTTTATACAGGTGAATTAAAGGAAATTAAACAAGATATTTCTAGTCTTCGCTATGAACTTTTGGAAGACAAATCTCAAGCAACAGAGGAATTGGCAATTCTCATACATAAATTAAGTGAAAAACTCAACCCAAATATTTCAAGATGTGAATGATCCCAAATGACATTTTCAAGATAATTACCTGGATTTTGACTATAGCACAAGCATTGGCAATAATATTTCTGAGTGATTCATACTTGAAAATATGTAGATTTTTAGTACTAAATGACTTTATGTACAGCTTCATTTGAAATAAAGTCTTAGAAAATTTTATGAAGTTACATGCAAACAATTTAAGTTTATTTCAGGTATAACGCATATTTTGCATTTATTTAATACAGTACAATTGTATCTAAATAATTTTTCATTGCTAATACTTCTATTAGTAAAATGAATATTTGTAGGAAATGAAAAAAAAATAATACTGTAGATTGTACTGCATGTCTGTTCCCATCTGTGAATGATTTTTATGAGATACAATACCAAAAGTTCAGCCAGCTCAGGAGGGCTTACTTGAAATGAATCAAGAGTTAAGCATGATCATTTTAAAGATATAAGCTTTCTAAAATTAATGGATTGTTTCAGGAAGTAATTGTGCCTAGAATAGATCCATTGAAATTAGCTAGAACTGCTTTGAATTTCACTGATTTCAATGAGTCCATTGTAATGTCTGATCTTATGCATGTTTATCTAGAAGTAGGCCATAAAGTTTAATAGTTTGTACTACAGAACTGAAAATGTTTTAAGTACTTAGCCAGGGCTACTATGAAAGTTAGTTTGGTGTAGTGATTAATGATATCAGGCTAGAAACTGGGAGACCATAGGTTTAGTCCCACTTTAGGCACAAAGCCTGGTGAGCGATCTTGGGCTAGTCACTTTCTCTGAGACTTAGGAAGTAATGGCAGACGACTTCTGAAAAAACCGTGCCAAGAAAACTGCAGGGACTTGTCTAGTTTGTCTCTCTGAGAATCAAACACACTTCAAGAAAGGAAGGAAAAAAATTCTGAATTGCAAAAACCTGAATGATTACAAGATGGCAAGAAAAAGATACTGAAAATCTTAAATGTTTGCAGCCCAGATCTGATACCTCTAGCTTAAATTTCACTGAATCATGTCCACTTATTTACTTTTTTTGAGAAAGCTCAAAGCTATGCGATAGAACTGAATGTCTAACAGTGAAAGTAAAAATGTAATTATAATGTTAATAACGCTTTTACATTTATTTTGTATCATATATGCTTTAAGAATACGAAATAAGGTTGCTGTTGTTTTTTACTTCTAGTTAATGCAAAATGTCAAAACATACATTTTCATGTGGTAATTTTTTTTTAAATCCCAGATCCTATGCAAGGCTGAAGTTTTGTTACATTGTTCTAACTAAAGCCTTTAATGCTTACTTGTTAAATAAAATATTCATACTTTATGGACTTATATTGTTCTTGTACTATTATCTGTGGGTTTGGGGTAGGTGATAGAAGTGAAATCCTGTTCATTCAAATAAGCAATGGGCTACACTTCTATATTCTAAAACTGTTACACAAATTTGATAGCCAGAGTTTTATTTTATATACCATTATATTTATCCTTTCCAAAGCCAAGCAATACTTAATCTTTATGAACTGTGCAAGCATATGTATTAATATATCATTATTAGGCTCTAAATGACTTTAAAGGAATTTTAAGAAATTGTTTTGGAGACTTTTCCTGAATAGAGTTAAGAGGACAGTATTTAAGATTTTGATAAATGTCAACTTATGACCACAATTGAGCCCAAAATTTACGTTGTTAAGTGAAACATTTGTTAAGTGAATTTTGTCCCATTTTACAACCTTGCCACAGTCATTAAGTGAATCACTAAAGTTGTTAAGTTAGTAACAGGGTTCTTAAGTGAATCTGGCTTTCCCATTGACTTTGCTTGTAAGAAATTGTAAAAGTTGATCACATGACCCTGGGACACTGCAACTGTCTTAAATATGAATCAGTTGCCAAGCATCCAAGTTCTGATCACATGACTATGGGAATGTTGCAACTCATAAGTGAAAAAAGGTCACTTTTTTGGTCTGCTTTCTCTCTCTCTCTGAGATTATAAAAAGTATTTAAAATAAGACTAAAATAAGCAAAAGATCTGGAGAAATATGAACTTTAAAAAGGAGGATGATGTGAAGTGCTATAAAAACAACAAGCCAAGGAAGGTTTATGTTTGAATTTGATCTAAGGAATGAGGAGATAGGAAGGCTGCTGCACTTAAGGCTGCCCTATCTGGAAAAAAATAAACTAGAAATATATGGAATACAGACTGCTTTTGGAATTTTATTTACATCCAAACCTCCAAATTATCTACAGCATTTGCTCTAATTCTGATTTCAACTTTCATTTGTAGGATACTTTTTCAGTACTATGTAAAATTCAAATATAGAGTGTAAAATAGCTTGATCTGAACTGATTATTTAAAAAGAAATGATTCTATATCTCAGTTTATCTGTACTAATCTATTAATTTTTGTTCTGACATTTAGCTGAAAAAGTTCTTAGTGGCTAATATAAAATGAATAATATTCAAATCACCTGTCCCCAAAATGCTTACTATATGAAGATTAATGTGCATCACCCAAAGAAAAAAGGATTAGAAAAGAAGAAAGCAATGAACTTCAGACATCACTGAATGTTCTGTTAGCTGTGTTTGCATCATCTACTTCCAGTGATGAACTTCCAATGATTTATTCAATGCAGTCATTGAATGCAGGTCACACAAGCTAACTATGTAAGATCTTCGGAAGCAAAATATCTTAAACATACTTGCTGCTAAGGAAGAGCTGAAAGAACGAAGAGCTACCGGTAAATGGCCTCCCGTATCTCTCTACTGCAACCTGGTAAGAGGTGATTACAATATTCTAATTTATATAATCCAATACTGTTATTTACTGATCTTAGGCTAAGCCATGTGGAATCACATGAATCTCAAGTTTAACAGATACAAATTGCACTGAATGTATTCACTAATCGTAGCATTTATGATCAATTCTGCTTCTACTCAAAATTCAACTTCTCACAATTTTTTTTGCAAGTTACTATTTAAAATCTGTTCACATTTTTCTCTGAGGGTCTCCAAACTTGGCGGCTTTAAGACTTGTGTCTTTAAGTCCCTAAAATCACTAGGCATTTGCTGGAATTAAATCACACAGAAATAATATAATGTACAAGAAAACAGATTAAATGTGGAGAGACTGTGGGACTTTTAGCACTTACTGATTCTCATCCAGGTCTCCAAATTTGCAGAGATATGGAAAAATAATGCTGCATACACTGATTATTTTGCCCAGCACCACTGAAAAAACATATTATACCCACTTGTTAGTTATATTGTAGTGAATTGTATAAGCCCGTAAATTAACTGAGTAAACCACGGTTCTTGGCTAACCATATACAACACGTTTCAGTAAGCTGTGGGTAGCGCCCGCCTGAACACACGCCTCGAATGGAAAGTTTATGCAATAATAAAAGGCGTTCGTCTAAACAGATGTTTCTCAAACCTGACAACTTTGAAATGTGTGGATTTCAGCCCAATTCCCCACCCAGCTTTGTTCTCGTGCTAAATCCAACACTTCGCTCTCATGACTAACTTCCCCTCTTCCTGGGGATTTCAGATGCTCTTGAGTTTTTATCCCGAGCTGAGGATTTTTTCTTTTCTTTTTCTTTTTTCTTTTTACTTGAGTGACAGCTCCTTCTTCAATCACGAGGCGCGTTTAAAGCGAAGCGTACTGCCCAAGAGCGCACCGCCTCCAATTAAAAACCAGGGCATTGTCGGGTTTACGCAAATCTGCCTCGTCACCATAGTAACGAGAGGCCTTGAGATAGTGTTTAGGCCGTAAGCTTTCTCTATACTGATGCCCGCGGAGAACTGGAAAGAGGAAGCCGAAGCCAGCGTTGGTAACTTGCCCATTGCCCATTGCCATGGAACTGAGTCTGAACCGGATGGATTACCTGCAGGTACAGCGAGCGGACGCGATGCCTGTGACAGCGAGTGTAGGCTGTTTTGCGCCCCTTCCCCCGGAAGCATCGTTTTTAGTCTTTCTCTATGCAGTTATTACTGCAGACCACCCCTATTCATACGTCTATGGCAGCCTTCCCGAAAAAAACCCTACAAAGGGATTGACCTATTGGCAGTATTGGAATTGTAGCCCCACCCATCTAGATGGCACCATTTTGACAATTCCTGCTTGGGAAGTAGCATTATCAATGAGTTGCAGGAAGAGAAGACTGAATTCTTTTTCAAATAGTTCGTCTAATATAATCAATCCAGTGGGGAAAAAATAAGGACATGTGAATATGACTCTTCAACAATTTTTTGGGTATTAAAGTATAACCTGCAGTTACCTTTTATCTTTTTGTTAGTTAAACTTCCATCATTGGAGATTTTTTTATTAGTAAGGAAGCTTTAGGAAAATTTCTGAGAATGCTAATATGAGAGATAAGTGATTAACTAATTTTAATTATTTTTAACTTTTCTAATTAAAACGATGGGAAACAAGCACACTGCAAAGTGAAGAAGGCATGCATAGTTTAATATAGACCCCAGAGGGATTATTATAAAATGAAATAACGTGCAGCTGCAGTCAAAAAATCAAGTTGATGGCTTGTGGTTAGAGCCCTGCCCCTTTTATCATGTATCAGTTGCACACACACACACACACATATATAAAAAAGTTGAAACCACCATCCTGACTGCTTTGATCTCAGGGATACCCTGGCTTCAATCAAGTACTTCACTTACTTGAGATACTGATATCTTGACACAAAATCTCATGTATTAATCAAATACATTTAATTTCTTATTTTTAGGATCTGGGTCCACAGAGGTATACCAGGAATACAGAAAAATATGGGGTTTTGTATCCCTGTTTATCACTGGGGCTAAAAGATCTGGGCAGCAGAAGTTTAGATGAGGGCTTTTCAACCTTTTCACAGATTGTACCACTTTTAGGACATGACAATATTCGAGTACCACCAGTGCTTAGCAAGGTGTCAAAAACTTGATGACTAAAAAAAAGAAGGGGGGGATTTTGGGTTTTACTGATTAGATTGATTTGTTGTAATGGCTAGTTTATACTATTATGGAAAAGTAAAAAGTTGAGGTTCGATGTTAATGCTTCATTCTACTGCAACAGAGGAAGTCAGAAGTCAATTCCTTTTCTTTTTCCCTTTCCCCCCTCACTTTTTTCCCTTCTTCCTCCCCATTGTGTCCTATTATTTGCTTTTGTATTTTTGTATTTTATTCTATAATCTAATAAAATGATACAAACTGTAAAAAAGAGGGGGAAAGTACCGGTTTTAATTTCTTTGGTGGTGGTTCCTTTGCTGAATCACTTTCCCTCTGCACTGATAAATGTTTGATGAATTTATCCATATTTATTAATATGCACCACTACTTTGGTGGTCAGCTGGCTGGTCAGCCCTTCTTCCTCGCTCCCTCTCCTCTCTCTTTTTCCTCCTGTAAGAGGACAGCAACCCCCCCCCCAGAGAAAGAAATAGTTTGGGGAATATTAAAAAGGAAAAATATTATATTTCTCCAAAGGAATAATGGAAAATCTTAGGCAGGACCTCCCCCCTCCCAAGTATCTCTGCCCCAAGCAGAAACCAGGTCTGTAGAAATGCAGATGTGATAATCCTGTCAGAAAGATTGGAGCCAGGAAGCTTAGAGCTGATGGGATTAGAAAGACAAAGATCCCTAGAATCAACAACCTCTCACACCCAAAAAATCTAACACAGGACATAGTCATCAGCCCCAGTGAAGCAGGATGTGACCTTTGGGACATAATAGGATTAACCCACCACCATTAGAATACCAGAAAAGCACACTGAACCTCAGGTCAAAGTTCATGCCAAAAGAACAACTCCAAACACAAAAGCCCAAGAAGGTATAAAAACCCACCACTCCCAGCAACATGTGGTCAGCTTTCCCAGAGCCTCATTTCTGTCTGGCTCTGCTCTTCAATAAACTACAACCTTATTTCTAAAGCAATCTCCATATTTTTATTCCCGGCTTGGTCTGGATCCTAATGAAGATTTTTCTTTCAACACTCCCTACCTGCTGGGCTCTCTTTTCAGTTTCTTTTCCCGTCTCTTCTTCCTGCCTGCCTGCTGGGTTCTCCTTCCAGTTTCTTTCTCCTATTTTTTTCCTCCCTGACTTCTGGGCTCTCCTTCCACAGTTTCTTCTCCATCCCCTTCTTTTTCCCCATTGTCTATTTTTTTCCTCTCCCTTTCCCGCCCAAACGTCCATCTATGCCCTCTCTTCTCTCCCTCCCTCCTCCTTTTCTCTTTGGTGCACCTCCAGTTGATTCCTCTCAAGGCTGCACTTCTCCGTCTCTCTTTTTCCATCCCCTTCTCTTTCCCGTTGTCTTTTTTTCTTTCCCTTTCCTGCCAAAACTTCCTTTTATATCCTCTCCTTTCTCCCCCCTCCTTTTTCTCTTTGGTGCACCTCCAGCTATGCGCTTCTCTTGGAAGCGCCAAACAGCTGGAGTCCGGCGCTGATCCTGGAGCTTTTGCTGAGCCCCAACAGCTGTGCAGCTCCAGCTGTCTCTTCCTCAGGCTTATGTGGCACTGCTGCCGCTTCAGTTCATTCCCTTCCTTGACTACACTTGTCTAGGATGGTCACGTACCACCAAAGCACCACCAGTGGTACGTGTACCACTGCTTGAAAAGCCCTGGTCTAGATGACCAGTAATAATAAGATACAGACCTCTTTCCTGCCATCTCTTGGGTATCCATATTTCTGCAACTCAGATCTGGTAACCCTAGTATATCCTTAAAAAGGACCTTATCTAAAAGATTCAATATTACTTCATATTTCAGTGTTTCTATACTTTATTCTTAACTCCTGTTTTCCTGTCCCTTAAGCTTCCTCACAAGCCCAGTTCACAATAGAGGGTAGGGTCCTCTTGGATTTGCAACTCCTGTTCAAAGAGCAAGTGAGAGCTGTGGCTAACTCTAGTGTGCTAATGATGACCATTGCTGAAATAGGCAATGCTTGTGGTCACTCAAGCCTTAGTCACCTCACAATTTGACTACTGCAAATGCATATTACATGGGGCTGCCTTTGAAAATTACCTAGAGCAGTGGTTCTCAATCTGTGGGTCGCGACCCCATTTGGGGTCGAACGACCATTTCACGGGGGTCGCCAAACAACGCAGTCCGCCATTTTTTTCCCCTTTTCCTTAGCTGTGCTACTCCCTTTTATTCTATTGGCTTTTGAAAGCCAATAGAATAGACTCTCTTGAATAGAGTCTAATTCTATTGGCTTTCAAAAGCCAATAGGAATTGTCCAGGCTGTCTCTGCCCCGCTGAGCCTGCCAAAAGTCCCATTCTGCAAACGGTGCTGCAAGTTGTCTGCAGCGAAGGCGAGCTGTCTGGAAGTTTCCACCCCTCACTGCTGAGCAACTACTAAAAATGTAAGTAAAAGAGAGCCAGAGGTGGGAGGCCGGTGGGCGCAGGGAGGGTTGCTGGCACACATGGGGCCCGGCGGGTGCCTTACCTCCCTTGGGCTGGGCTAGCTGGTGGCCCAGCCGGTGGGAAGCCTGCTCCACCTCTGCCGCTTGCCAGCTACGCCTCAGCCGGTGCAGGGGGCGGCACCACGCATGCGCGGCGCTTCCAGGCAGGGAAAGTCCTCGACTTACGACCGGTTGGGTAGTCTTCAATTTACGACCGGTTGGGTAGTCCTCAACTTACGACCGGGTGGGGGTCGCGGCATTAAAAAGGTTGAGAACCACTGACCTAGAGACTGCAATTGGTGCAAAATGTAGCAGAATAAGTACTTATAAGGGTACCTCATTATGTCCATTTAATACCTCTACATGAGTGTACATGCTTACAGTGGGATTCAAGGTGTTTGTAATGCTCTTTAGCACATAGGACTAGTTTATTTTTTGGTTTATTTGTGTTCAATTGTATTCCACCTGTTCCAATAGAATAGGCGCTCTTTGGGTCTCTTCCTTGAAACAATGCATATTTTTTTGGGATGTGATGTCTGACTTGTGGCATGATCTACCTCAAAATTTAACTGGCTTTTTTGTCCTAGTTGTTAATTTTTTGTTAGGGTGTTATAATTTGCGCTTATGGTTTTATGTCACCTGGAGTTAATGCACTAAATAGAGCTAGCCATGGTTGCCACTTGCTCTTTGAGCAAGCAAATCCAAAGATTTATGCCTAATTGCCATTAAGTTCCATTGTTTTGAGGGAGGCTTACCTTAATAAATATATACAAATCATGTTGAACTCACTGCTTTGAAGATTTAAGAGTTTTGAGTTTGCAATATTTCCAAGGTAAAAAAATTTAAGACTGGATATTTTGAAATTAAAATGAGTAAAGACAGAGAGAGCCAGTTTGTTGTCATGATTAAGGCATCAAGCTAAAAACTGGGATACCTTGAGTTCTAATTCTATCTTAGTCACAAAGTCAGTTAGGTGACTTTGGGCCAATCACTTTCTCTCAGACTTGGAAAGGGGAAAATGGCAAACCACTTGTGAAAAACCTTGGTGAGAAAACTGCAGGGTTTTATCCAGTCAGTTGATGAAAATCAGATACAACAGAGTGGAAGAAAAAATTCTCTACTTAGCATGCATGCAATTGAATCATAATCTCTTACTCTTCTACCTAGTATCATATACAGGTATCCCTCAACTTA